ATGTCTATTTTTGGGAATTTCCATATGGGTATTTTCTTCTTCCCCTCTATCCTGGATATGCACAGTCTGAAATCCAATTATACAGCCACCTTCCTGAAGCTTAAGCAGATATGGCTTTCTTCAGTGTCTGGATGGAGAATGATAAGGAACACCATGTGTGCCACCTTGAACTCACCATGGAAGAAAAGGGAGGAATTAAATGTATACCCCATATGTATATGGGATAGTGGCTGTGACTGTCCCAGTTTTGCTGTGTGCCTGCTCTGATTTGAAGTGGAGAGACTGTTCAGTTACTTCATATCTGAGCAACAGCAAAGGAAAAAAAAAAGGCTGTGTTTGTTGCACACTTTTTTGCCAAGCTAGACTACTGAACAACCCAACAGAAATGCTCCATTTGCTGTCATCTGGAAGGTCCCTTGAGCGTAGGAGCTGCTTCCGTAGACAAGTGTGGTTTTTTGAAGTGATGCCAGGTGTTGAAAAAAGCTTGGCCTCCCTCATGATGCATGCTAATAAGTCCTCCCTTGATGTTCCAGACATTAAGTGATGTAGAGTGTCTGAACTTTTATTAGATTGATCAGCCCATAGAGAAAGTAGGGCATGCTGAGAGGCATTGTTGGCACTTGCTCTCTAGCTCTGGGATTCAATACTTCCTGTAGTCTGCCAAAGCTGGCTTGATCATCATCTGTCAGATTTATTTGTTTGGATGATCATTTAGAGAACAAGAATAAACAAGATTAATTACACTAGAGCATCTTAAAACCTAAGCTGTTACTTGATTTGTGTATGGAGTGGATTCATACAAAGTCTTAAATTTTTTTTTCTTAAACTGTATTTTCTTGGTGTTTGGAAACCATAATTTTCAAAATTCCCAGCCAGCATAGTCAATCACCCAACACATCTGGAAGGGGCTAGCTTAGGAAAGGCTGATATAAAGCATTGTTAACGATAGTCCATCCACAGTTTGACTGAAGAGGTTCACTTTTTTGAATTTGGGCTGAAACTTTGAAAATCTATGCCTTTAAGATCTGCTTCAGTGCCAAGAATGAGAAACCTGTGACTTTCCAAGGCCCACAGCTACACTTCAGAACGTTCCAGCCAGCATGATAGGAGGTGGGAGGTTGTTCTTCCCAAGGTTAAATAAATGGTAGGTTATGTGAATTTTAGACCCAAGGCTGACACTATTATGTAAATCTTAAACCTCCTTTTTAAAAAGCCTATGGAAAAAATAGCACATTAAATCTTCATTAGCCTACTTTTTGAATCCCCCTCCTTACCTGGGAGTAAATTCCAATGATTTTAGCAGTTTGTTTAAAATTGTATCCAGGGTTATACAAGAGCACTTTTGAAACTGCTAATATTCCATATATTAAACTCATTCTCTGAGTGGGACAACATCCCTCATATGTGAGGGACAACGATAACATCTAGGGACAACGATAACATCACGGGCCTACATTTCAGTGAGTGATCTAGTGTTGTTTCTCTCAACTTTGCTGCCACTGTTTTAATCTCTTTGAAAAATAGTGTGCATTGGTAATTACTTAGTTAAGAGAGCCATTTTGGTGTAGTGGTTAAAGGTATCAGGCTTGAAACCAGGAGACAGTGAGTTCCAATCCTGCCTTAGGTAAAAAAAACCAGCTGGGTGACTTTGGGCCAGTCACTCTCTCTAAGCCCTAGGAAGGAGGCAATGGCAAATCACTTCTGAAAAATGCTGTCAAGAAAACTACATGGACTTGTCCAGGTGGTCACCAGGTATCAAGACTGACTTGAAAGTGCATGAACGTACACACACAAATAAATAACTCAGGTAGTGGGTCTCAAGGTTGTCTCCAGACCATTTCTGTCTTTTCTCCAGTGAACACAAGGCAGCATGCATCCAATTTATTTTAGGCTACACCATTCTTTGGGGATGAAGTCAGGCCGAAAGTGATAGGAGCAAGGCTTAAGTGAGCTTTATACAGTTAGCACTTATTCCTCCTGATTTGCATGAGCTTATTTCTGTAATGCTCTTGTAGAACGTGCCATATTTATCAACCTTCAGATCCTGGGAGATTTTCCTTGATTATTTCAAATCTTTTTGAACATTCTATGATACCATTGTGGTATGAACAGTGTGAACTCAAGTGAGAATAACCTTGTGCATATAAGCAACTTTTCAGTAACTTTTGATTTTTTTTTTTTTTAAGATGAGGGCCATATATTTTTTTTAAGATGAGTATGATGCTAAATAAAGATGTCCATGATACAAAGTTGGAATCCTAGGTAAAAGTTTTTTTTTTTTAAAAAAAAGGGAAACCTCTCCCTCCAAATCCTAAAACACAATAAAACATTAAAATAAAGCTTTCAGCCCTTGACTTGTGATGTCATTGAATTTCAGCAGCAAATTGCAGCCCTACGTTTGACTGGAAGTATTGGCAGTACAGACCTCTGTAGTGCAGTCAGAGGGGACTCAAGGACTGTGCATGGCCTAAGGGTAAACCTCACCAAAGTTCTTTATAAAATGCAACTACTATTATCTACTGGCAACCTAAAATTCACTCCTCTTTATGAAGATAGCAATGCATATGATACATTAAATTACATTAAATTATACAGGAAGCTGGCAGCTCTAGAGCTGAGTGTATTCAGTATTTGTAGACTTGATAAACAGTTTATTAAGTTTCTTAGCTTAAACCTTGACATACTTGTATCTGTCTTAAGCATGTCATTTTTATAATGAATAAGTATATATAAACACTTCCTTATGAGTGCTAAGTAAGTAAACCTGAAACTGTTTTTAGATGTTATGTTCAACTGACAGGTGATAATTTTTGAATGAACTATGGAAGGTTGAATTACAGCATTTGTATTAAAGAACTGTATGGATATAATCTTAATTCATCTTCTTTACTATGTGCAGAACCTGTTCAGCTCAAGAGAATACGCTGGATGGCTAACAACATTTTTAAGAAATAGACTCCAAAAATTAAATATTATTAATTTTAATTTAACACAGCACCAAATGATCTGACACTAGAAACCTGTAAATTTGGGGGTGGGGGGGACTGTTTTGGTTGTATTTTCAGGAAAAAATTATGAGAAATACAGCATGTACTACTAACTGTTTTAAGTTACCTCAAGTTCAATTAAAAATGAATAAAAATGTTTATTTCTTGCCTGCCTTCAGTGTAGATATTGGCTGTCTTTTCACTACCTGTGCATGCGGACAATTTTGTTCTTACAGCATCCCTGGAAGTAGACCTAATGGTCTGTGAAAGAATATGATTTCTATTGGAATATTTCTTTTTCTTCCAATCATGTCACATCTCTTTCTCTCTGCCACCCCCCCAGCCCCCCTTGTTTTGGTCCCTTGAGCAGCAATTTTGCTCAATTAAATTTAATTGTGTTAAAATTTTCTAGTATAATTTCATACAAAAAGTTGAGTCTACCATTTTCCTTTGAGAATTAGCTGTGAATGACATTAAAATTGCTTGAACAAGTCCCCCTGGAGATAAATAAGCAGAGAGCTTAGATTCAGATAGATTTACATGGTCTGAACATCAGAACAAGCTTCATGGTGCAGCATGGATTAGATATAGAAGGGATAGACTTCCTTCTTTCCTTCCTTCCTCCCTCCCTCCCTCCCTCCCTTCCTTGCATTACATAGAGTCCTAACTTACTTTGTTTTCTCAAACTTGTAAGTTAGGTTGAAGAAGAAAGAGAATAACCTGCCCAAGTTTAGAAGGATTTTCTTGGCAGAGCTGAATTTAGTCCTACGGTAATGTTCTGTCCTTGATGGTGTAAGTATGCTTGCCAAAACCTCTCTTAGTGCCCATCAGGTTTACTGCCCTGCCTGACATTTTAGTTTTTTTAAAAAAATGGGAAATTGAACAATTGCAAGTTCAAGTTAAGATCTTGGAGCTTTTCTAAAAAAATAAAAAATATGGGCAGTTGCAGCCCAGTGTTTGAAGCATGCATAACTGCCTAGAAAATTGACAAAAGTGAATGGCAATTAGAGAGAGTGTCCTGATGAATGGAGTAGTAGATCATCTTCTGATAAATTGGTGCTTTGTAACCAGTAATGGCCCCATGTCAGTGTTTTTGTGAATGGACAAGCCTTCTTAGTAGCTCTTTTGTGAAAGGCCCGCTGGCTCAGAAGGTTTTGTGAACCCCTGTTTAATCCTCTGTACTACACTGGTTCTACCTGCAAGTGTAATCTAATTAATTGTTCCAATTAATTCCATTACTCATTACTAAAAGTTGGTTTGCACTTTCTGCTTAACGGGGGCCAAAGGGAGAGGCAAGGGGAAATAGCAAACTGTTATGACTTGTTCACTCAGGACACGTATTCAGCTGGTAAGAACAGAAGGAGCACCAGCAGGTTCAAGAGGCTCTGGGGTTTGGCAGAGAGAACCTCTTAAGCCTTGGCAGTTGCTTGACAATGCCAATGTTGTACATTGATCCTGGTCTTTCCCTACCTAGCTGCCACTTGTGTGTTGTGCTGTTTACCTTTATATCCAGTTTCCAATAGGATTGGGCAAGGTGGAAATGCTCCACAGGACAAAGGCATGAACAGGAAGAATCTTGCATGTTGCATAGGTGAGGAGTGCAAATTCTCTCATCACATAATATCCCATATATGTTCAGAGATAACATTAGGCATTTCCTGAGTGTATATGGTAGCTGTCAATCATGGAAGATGTAAGACTTGAACATAACTATAGTAACAGTAAACTAGAGAAAGTTGGATTTGGGGGTGGGGGCTTCATTGTGCCAGGGTCTCAACCTCTTCCTTCTTGATGCTTTCCACAGATCACATTAGAACCCATGGCCTTCCAGGTATTGCTGAACAACAGCTTCCAGCATCCCTTACAATTGGCCATGCTAACTAGAGTTACTGGGACTGTAGTTCAGCAACATCTGGAGCACCAGAATATCTTCTTCCTCTTTCAGAATTTCAAAAAACATTTGTGTGTTGTCATTCTTCATTCCTGGTTTGTCATCCTTGCCTTGTCTTTCAGCATGTCTGGAGTGAAAGTGAGGACTGCTTGCCTTTTCTGCAGTTGGCTCAGGACTACATTTCTTCCTGTGGTAAAAAGACACTCCATGAAATTCTGGAAAAAGTCTTCAAATCATTTAGACCTGTAAGTACACATTTTCTTTTGCCAGTGGTTTGGATCCAATATGCTAGGTGAACCTGATGTGTCTCTGCTCTAATGTCTCATAAGTTGTCTGGCAAAATGCACAGAAATAAATGTTTATCTTGAACAGCCTCACTTTATTTTCTCCCTCTCTGGTCTTCCATTTTGCAGACTCCCAGCTGGGACAGGAGACAGACCATACTGACTCCCCAGCCAAATGAGAAATTATGTGAGGTTTGATCTTTAAATGTTGGGTCTAAAGAACTATAGAGAGGATGTCTATACTGAATTCTGTGGTGGAACTATTTTCCACTACTTCTTTATGGAATTTCATAATATACATGTATTGACATTCACTGGAAGAAAAAGACAAACAAGCACTCTCTTTTTTCCTCACAAACTGAGAAAAAAATTGTGCATTCTGAGATGTTTATTTCAAGGGTTTTGATCTTTTCTACTAAAAAAAACTCAAAGCAGGTAATAAAAATGATTCTAATATTTGCTAGCCCTTTATCGTAGACTGTTCCAAAAATAATAATATCCTCCCCAGGTGCAAATAGCACAGAAAGTAACCATTCTGACAATTCCTCAAGTGATTCTTCTTACATTAGTAAAGTGATGTGAGACAGACAAATACAGGAATGGCTATACTATAAACATTGGCTCTGAATGTATAACACTTAGGTGTGATTTAATTATCCAAAATCATGTCGATTATTGAAATTAATGCAGAGTATGACCTCAGAGACTTGTCAGTATAAATATAACCATGTTTCTAAGCACATTTACTTGGAAGTGTGTTTGGTTGACATAAATAAAAGCAGCGTCATTTAAAAAGAACAAGAAACATTGGGCTGGCCAATCTGTTAAGATTAGTATTGTTCATTTCTCAGTCTTGGTTTTTTTTTTTTATATGAATGATAATTCACATGCATTTTATGCACATTGCTAATATATACTTTCCCCAGTTTTCACTAATCTAATGCATTTTAATACTTTCCTCAAATACACACATTTTGAGTGTATTTTGTCTAATGTACACATTCTTGCAGTCATGTTTTTGAGTTGCAAATTACATCACAAATATAACTTAGATGTTGATTTCAGAATATTCATGTATCCTGATTTTTATGAAAGTTCAGGGGAGTAAATATAGCAAAATAATAAAAATTCAGGTATGACACGTTTGTACCCATCAGCAGAAGAATGGATTACCTTTTTCTTTCCTAGCCCAAAATACATGCAGCTGCCTTATACATAGAGTAATGACCCAATATAGTGTAATGGTCCAATATAGTTTTAATATGATGCTTTCAATGGTTTTTCAGGGGTGTTTCCATATGGAGGTTTTCTGATGCTGTCATTGAAAAAACATTTGTGCATTTGCTCATTCTCTTTCCTCAACTGAATTTTAATTAAGAAAAATAGAGTCAAGAAGGTTACAATAGATGACAGTGCTAGGCTTATTTTTTTATAAGTATTGTTATACTATTAAACATATGCTCCACCTTTTTGCCTATATAAGCATTGAAGTTTGCTTACAATAAATTGAACACAACAGGGCAATTACAAGACTTTCATCAGAAATGCCCCTATTTCTCTTGGTATCTGAAGTCCATTCAGTTTTACCAATAGATAGCAGCAATCAGTTTATAGGTCTGTTAAATTTTACACTTTTTTACATGAAGATTTTTATACATCCTTAAATATACAAATTATGAACAAACAAGCGCATAATGTTGTAGACTTAGTGTCCTACTTAGAATGTTTGTTCAGAGAACTAGAATTGGCTGCAACTTTTGGATAAGAAATATTTTAGAATTCTTCCTAACAGGTGCAATTCTGACATTGAGCAAGATGAAGCACACACTGATAAGATGATGCTGTGACTAGTCACTTATCAAATTATCTGTTTTCTTGCGCACATCCCTCCATCACGCCAACAAGCACCTACTTTTGCCTTCTTTCCCTGGCTAGCTCTTTCTGTAACTATCAGGGCTAGATCTTAGAAACCTTGATTTACTAATAGATGGTGGAAGCTCCAGTAGCAAGTCCAGTAGCAGCACTGTTCAGTTTCCATTTGCTTTCTTGTACCTAGCAAGGAGCTCTTCCTCCTTCACACCCAATTGGGTGCATAGAATAAGTCCTCTTATGAAAATTTGCAGGCAAGTTCATGGGTTCTTTCTGGTGTTTTTCCACCACTTGTGGCTTAGCCAGTTCTAGGTCTTCTGTCATCCTTCTATCCAAAAGAGATCCAAAACTGGTTAAAATAGCCCAGATCATTTTTATTGTACTGTAAGCTAGATTCAGCAATAGAAGAGCTAGTTGTTTGGAAGTGCCCTTAAACAGAATCTAGCCTAGTCTTGCTTTTTATACATGAAAAGTATCTCAATGCCTGCAAGCCACTTACATTACACTTTTCATTTTAAATTGAAATATATGATTCCACAAATATTTTCTCAAGTTTGTTCTTGAGCATCAGTGATACTCTCTCATGTCATCATTTCATAATACACTTACAGTTTATTTCCTCCTTCTTTACAAATAGCTATTGGGGCTTCCAGATGTAGACGACGATGCATTTGAAGAATATAATGCAGATGTGGAAGAAGAGGAGGCAGAAGCTGATCACCAGCAGATGGGTGTCAGTCAGCAGTAATATTCAGAGGAATTAAAATATATTTTATCTTACCAGGTGGGGTCTTATGCTTCTGCATTAGCATTTTTGAATTAGCACATCACACTGGAAAACCTGACTCCCAAACCCAAAGTTTAAAAATAAAACAACAACAACAGTATTTTTAAAAGTCTGTGATGAGCTTTGCTAAGATGTGGCCTGAATTAACTCCTGCTTCAGTGAAGTTTTTATGGTGTTGTCTTGGTAGCATTCTGCCATTGTTAACTTAGAACTTTTTTTTTCTCGCTGACTTGTCTTTTTGTTGTTGTTGTTGTTGGTATTATTACCATTTTTGTTTGTATAGAAGGATTAACATTTCACTGACCTGAATGTGATTTGAATGTTGGAACTATTTGGTTGGTGTGTTAAATACTTGCAGGCCCTTACTGAGGACCATCCATGCAGAGAATAAATGCAATCTGCACTTTGGTTCTCTCTCTCTCTCTCTCACTTTTGTTTTTAAAGAAATATTACAGATTAAGGGTCATGTTTCAAATGGACAGCATGCCATCAAATAATGCATTCCCAAGTCTCTCTCATTTTAGTAGGAAAGATTTAAACAGATACTTATTATTTTTATTGAAATCTGAGAGATGCACCATCTCCAGCTCCAAAACTACATGTGTTCCCTGAGTCTTCTTTTTTACAGCCCTTGGAGCCTCCTGTGATCATGATTGCTGAAAACGGAAAGCAGTTTCCTAAACTCCCCTCATGCCCAGCCCTTCTTAATAGGCTCCTCTTAAACTCTGAAGTCCTCAGCTCACCTGTACCACCAAAGTCTGCCCACCCTACCAATTCCTAAAAGCCTTAGGAGATGCCATATACTCCTTTATTCCTCTCCTGCAAACATCTTCCTTTCCTTCCCATGTTTTGGTTTAACACTGATGTAGTATTATAACTCAGGCATGTTTCCTCATGGCTGGCTTTTAAATTATTTGCAACCTTCATTAAAATTTCATGCCCATAATTAGTAATAGTGCAGATACGACTTTTCTATCAGCCTTCCTCAATGGCACCTTCCAATGTGTTGGGTTGCAATTCCAAGAATTCCTCAGTCATTGTGGATTCTGGGAAATTCTGAGAGTTGTAGTTCTGCCATAACACTAATGAAGGCTGCACTGCACTATAGCTGGGATTAACACATGGATGGAGACAGGTATTAGTGTCAGCAGGAGGGAACAAGTATATCCAATATCTAATCATAGTTACTTAATTTTGGCTGGAATACTCAGTGCATAATCAGTGATAATTGTTGCAGAGGAATCCTTATACACAAAACATGAATAGTATTTCAATATTATGCAGTTTTTAGAAAATAAGAATCATATTCTTAAATTCTTAATTTACAGACAAGGGGCAGAACAGAACTGACATTACCAATCTGCTTTATATACTTTTGTTACCATCAAATACAAAGTCAGATCTTGCTTTAACAAAACAAATTAAAAACACAGACTTATTCCTTATCCCTTGTATCAATACAAGAGGGTGGCAGTGAGAGAGAACTATCCTTTGTGGCTGCTTTGCATGAGGAAATTATCAGTTTGCCTTTATAGTAAGTATCAGGCCAGAAGAGCATCTTCTATATTAATTTTTCAGTAGCTAACTTCAGAGGCAGGCAGTAGACTTCTTGGGAATCCTTCTTTTGAATCACACCAACTTCCTCCCCGACTGACTTTATTTTGTTAACATAATTCTAATGGAGACATCATGCTTGTCCCATATAATTATTAAAAAATACAAATAGTGGGTGGCTACAGCCCAGATTTCTTTTTAGAAATGTTCCCATTTGCCCCGGGGGGGGGGGAGACAAATGCAAACTTGAGTTGAAATCTAGAGGACAACAAGTTGGGTACAACATCATCAACTTGCCTTCTAATAAATGGGTGTTTTGTGACCAAAGATAGTGATTTTATGGGAGCTCTCACAATGTGCTTTCCAAATTCCAAATGTGGTTATTGGCCCAAAAAAGTTGCCAGGCTATCCCTCCCAGGTCCATCCACTTCCTAAAGAGTAGTGAGTCTTTAAATCAACTGCAGACCTGGGTGTCTTCTGCTGAGCTGAAGTTGAACTGCATGTAGTGCATAACCAGTGATATTCTTCATGGATGATAGCATAATTGGCAGCATACTACACATGCATCACTTTCTTACATTGTAGCACCAACTGTAGCAATTGGAAGCAAAAAATTTTGGCAGCTCTTCTATTTATCACTGCCTTTCTGAGTTTACTGACTCTGCTCTATCCACCCAAATGAGTCACCCTTCAATATTTAAATGGTGGTTGTCCACTGCCTCTTAGCTGGCTCTTGCCTTTCACCTTCTGATATATAAAAAGAGCTTCCCTCTTCTGGGTGGCATAAGTCCCAGCTATGGCTGTGGCTTAGGGAGCTCCTGGCCGACAATTTCATCGGTTTTGTAAGATTTGATTTCTGTATTTCAGTTTGCATAACTGATACTCCATGTCCAGCTAATGTCAGATTCGTAACTCCTGTTTATATCACTTTATGCAAAGCCCATGTAGAGATGTGATGTTAACATTTACAAAATGTAAACAATTTTTAAAGTTACATCTCTAGCTTTCTGGGTAGTTTAATTTACCAACAATTAAAACCAGTTTTCTTTATAAGAAAAACCAGGGCAAAAACATTTGATCAAAATTTTGTCCGTGAATTCACTTCTTTATCCAGATGTAATCCATGGCTGGCCTCCTGAACAAAAGAAGCATAGCTGTTCATCTCTAAGGCTTTTGGTGTCTTCTTGTATCTTCAAGAAGAAAAAGAATCTTCTTGGGTACAATCTAATTTTTACAAAATATTCCTTTATGCAACCTTTTTTTAAAAAACAAAGATAACATATTTAAATCTCTTTAATAAAGGAATAATTTTATAATTTCTAATGATTGATATCATTGTCCCTACCAAGACTATTTTGAAAGAAAAGTTCTTGTGGGCAGTATTTTTTTCTGGAATTTGCTGCTGCTGAAAATTGTTTTAAAGGTTGATGTTTTAACGGCATTTTTGATTAGTTTCAAATTGGGAGGTGTTGAATTTTTCTGTTCAAAGACTTTGAGTGGATTCCATGTTTTCCTGTTGATGAAACTTATTCCATTAGCTGAAGCAATGGGTGGGATCATTCCTGTTCCCCTGGAGCCCTCCAGACCAAAACTTGTTCTTGAGGTTGGCAGACTGTCCAGAGTTGAATGGGATGGAGAATCGCTCCTTTCCCTTCTTTTGTTAGAGAATATTCCAGCAGCAGAAAAGGTGCATTGAATTCCATCTATTTCTGCAGTCTAGGTATATATGTATGAATCTGAACTGATGTGCAAGCTTGGAATTTCAAATTTTAGAAACAAAAGATTTAAAAACATAAATCCATTGAGAAACAGTGTCATACTCTATTTGCTATCAATTTTTATGACGTTGTGGCCTGAAAATTAGTTAATTATAGAACTATGAGCATTTGCAGGCTGTATTATTATTATTATTACAATTCCCACCTTTTTTATATAAAACTCAAGGTGGTGAACATGCCTAATACTCCTGTATCCTATTTTCCCCACAACCACCATTTTGTGAGGTGAGTTGGGCTGAGAGAGAATGACTGGCCCAAAATATCAAAATAAAATGTACCACAGTGCTTACTGATTCTGTCTTCAACGCTGTTTATATTCCGTGTCTCATCTCTAAAACAAATTAACATTATAGATCTGTAGATGTTTATGGGAAGTAAGTCCTACTTAATGCAATAAGACTTACTCCTAAGTACATGGGCCTTGATCACAGTTTAATAATACAACCCATACATTCAGCTGAGAAGAAAGTATGTTAACAGGATGGAGCAAGCTTTCATGCAGGGAAGACTATTAAAATAGGAATCATCTTCTATGTTACCTGCTTCTTCTATGAAAAATAGCTATTACTGGTTGGGTTCACACATTGTAGGAAGCTATGGTTTGCATAACGATGGTCTATAAACAGTTTGGCTAAGCCAAACTCTAATAGCATTGTAGCTCAGCATGATTTGTGAATCATGTCACTGTCAATTATGCATATACATCTACATTTTAGACATTTAAAGAAGTGAACCAATTCCTACCCTAGTGATCATTTATTATTTAACTATTCAAAATGATCAAAATAGAGTTGAGGAGCTTTCTTCTCTGGATAATCCACTGTATCATAACACTTTCACATCTGTCTGAAGCCTTGTAAAGATATCAAGATATTCTGCTAGTGCCATCCTGCTAGTGTTAAATGGAACCTACAGATTTAGATTCAAAACTTTCAAAAGTTTAAATCTGAAGGGTAGATTTAAACTTTTGAAATAGTTTTGAATCTAAATCTGTAGGTTCCATTTAACACTAGCAGGATGGCACTAGCAGAACAAGCAACCTAAGTTTGTCTGCAAGCTGTTTTTGCAAGGACTTGGAACTACAAACTAGCCAACTATTTATTGACAAGCATTTGTGAATCCAACCCATGTGATTAGTTTATGGTTCTGTGTGCTTTACAATTAGACTAACTGGGGATTCAGGATAAGTGTATCATATAAACACAAGGTGGAAATAAGCCAAACTAGCATTCCGCCTGCTCTCAGCCAACTTGCTGCTCATTGCTCCATATTCTCAACCATCTTCTCAAAATTAACTCATGTAGTACTATCAGATCTAGTCTACCAAAATCCACACAACTACTAGACCAAGCAAAGGGCGTATCTAGATTTTTGCAGCCTAGATCTGGTGGCCTACATACATGTGACCCAAAAAATAGAATCAGGAGTACAAATATAAAGATGAAAGAGATAGGTTTGATAATCAGAAACAGGAAGCCATCTTTGTTTGCCTCTCTTTAATTTCTGTATACTGTATAAGTGCGTGTTTACATTCATTCTGGGAATGGGAGAAAGTGACATTTGAAAATGCTACTGCAAAATGTGTCCAGTCATTACTGAAAGATTTCCTGAGTTGTGGTGTTTCGTTGTAGGTCCATCCTCAGCCAGTATTTCATAACAGCCTGAGCTGATCAGTAAACGATCCCAGGATTTTTACAAAGTAGGAAGGAAAGGGGATTTTTGAAGGAAAGATTTAGAGTTTGCAGAAGGAAATTCTAACCAGATGCAGGTTAAACCTATTCTGTAATCTAATTCTTACTAAAACCGGAGACCTTCAAACTGATCAGTGTTAAATATATCCAGGTTTTAGAAATGAGCACTGCATTTATTGGAGAGAGGGGTTGATAATGGGAACAGAAGAGGGAAACATTAATCCTCTGTATGCAAATATGAGCTAATGAATTTTCATTAGTACCAGGGCATGAGGGAAAATCATTACCTTTCCCTGCTCTGATTTTGATTTTCCTCAATATTTCAAGGTTTTGTAGTTAGGTATCAACCAGAAGCATTTTCCTCAGCCTAGTGCTCATGTTGGATTATAATTCTCATCCACAGGTAATGTACCTAAACTGGCTGATAGTGAGAAATGTTCAACACAGCTATAGAACAACAGGCTGAGGAATTTAATACTGTAATAACACATCTCTCCTCTCAATTGTTACAGTAATATGAAAAAGTATTTCTTTTTCTGCTGTATATAGTTCCTAACAAATTTCAGAAAAGGACATACAGTATACACAGCGATTGCATTTACACAGTGATTGCATTTGCACAGCTTTCTAGTTCTGGCTCTTGGATTTTTTTTTTAATGTTGTACTGTTGTATATTATTTATTAAAATATTTAACCATGCTCTTCAGCCAAAATGCTTTCAAAGCAATTTTACACACACACACACCCAATTCAATAGGTAAATAAGGGTAATTGGTAGGCAACCTCACAGATACATGACCCAAGGAAAAGGAGTGCAGAAGGAGGTAGAAAACCCTTAATTCAGTTACCCTGCTGAACAAGCATGTGTCTGCCTGTCTAAACTTGGATTTGCACTACATTTATTCTCTGCCTGGGTTGGTCTGTTCTTTGCTACCTTAGTTCTCTTTGATTTTTCTCTTTTCTTGCTTCCTGTCCTTAAGATAGAATTTAATGTACTTTCCCAAACCCTTTGCTTTTTCCCATCAGGATGAGATGATTCCTCGGAAGACCCTTTTGGGGAGGGAAGAACCATTAAAGGGAGCTAGTACCGCTCATGATGTTTCTCCCTTCATGATAAGTTAGATTCCTCAGAAGTCCTTTAGAGAGCAAGGGAGAGAATAGCATAATAATATCAACATCTTGTATCCCATATGTAAATGACAAGGCCATAAAGCAATATCTTTGTTTAGGTAGACTCTGGACAAATAAGAACCCTTTTTTCAGAAGTAGGATTTATTTAGCAATTACTCAGAAGCCATTTACAATAGTGCTGTGTCCCTTTGCCTTCATTAACTGGTTCATCCAAGAAAGAGAAGATTCCAAGTAGAAGCACCACACCGGTCTTTGAACAATGTTGGATCAGAAGATCCAGTTAAATGCCTAGGAAACTCTCTGTCCAACTACAATTCCTTGCTAGTTGTACAAGTCCAAAACCTACAATGCAAGTTCAAAACTAGTTCTGTTTGAATTTCTGTATTATGTATTTCTGTGTGTAGCAGTTCTTACAGACCTATTTCCCTGTGACTTCCATTCTTCCCTTTCCATAATCCCTTCAACAGCAGAGCTATAAGGGAGAAAGGGTGAGGATACACACCTGTAATTTCCATTCTGGTGGGCTTATTTGGCAAGACTGATATTTTAATGTAGAAACCTTTTGTGAAGGATGTAGAATAGCTGTGATTAGATATTTTGGTACTAATTATAATTAGTTTTGTATTCTTTCAAAAGAATGCATGCCAAGTATTTCCATGCCAAAAATTTATCCTACAATTCTTCCCTATCAGTTCTCATTCTTAATGGAAGAAATGTTGCTTTTGAAATTTCTTTCAAAGGACAATTGAATTTTGACAAAAGTCTCATGGGTGGAGTGTGGTATTCTTAGATTTACTTCATTGTAAGGTGGCCAAGGAGTATGTGTGAATGTCCTCTCTTTCATTGTCCAATCATATCTTCACTGGTCTGCAGCCTCCCTGTCTTTCCATGCTTCAGTTAAATTCTAAGGGAAGAAGACATCATGAGAGAACTCCATGGACCTTTTTTCAGATTGGAAAGTGTGGACATCCAGAGTTACTTCAGGATTATGGAAAGATGTATGAGAGAAAATAAGCATCCTTCACCATCATCAACAATAAATTCAATTAAAAGAAATTCAAAAGAAAATTTCAAGCACCCTGAGAATAAAGTAGAAAAAAAGTAGACGCTTCTTTCTCAGGGGAAGAAATCTAAGAAACTGCAAGACAAATTCTGGAGTAGCATTTTTCTTACTTAGAAAATAGTTATGGAAGTTATGGAAAATAGTCATTAGCCTGCAACAGGTAGAGGGAATCTGTTGGATCCGAAAACATCATATAGAAGGCAGCAGAAGGAACAGCATATACAATTATTGACTGGAGGGTTTTTTTCTTTCAAGCTTCCCTTTCTGTCATGCTAGATGAAAACAACGATATTGCTGCCTCTCAAAGACCTCATTTTTCAGTTTTCAAATTAGATTTAACTTTTGGTTTGTTTTGATTGACTTCACGTTTTTCTTTGTAATGCATATATTGATCCAAGCACAAAGACCCCAAAAAAGAAAAACACCTCTGTCACAGGAGTGAATGAACAACTCTCAACTATTGACCAGGCTGGCGGGGGGCTGCTGGAACTGTTGTTCAACAAATAAGTGCATTCAAGTACAAAGTGAATATTTATGCACAAGAAGGTGCTCTTTATGTACATGAATTCTGTTTTAACAAGATGACTTGTGATACAAAGAGTAGTTACCTCAGTGTAACTTGATACATCCTTGATTAACTACAATCCAAGATATATCACATTCTCAAACTCTCTCACTTGTAATTTCAAGGAGGGTGGGGGTGACAGGTTTTCATCGCTTTGTTGGCATCTTTATTTGTGTTTTAGGAATTGTAGTTCTACAACATCTGGAGGGCTACAGATTCCTTTTTTTAAAGCTTCCTTCAGCATGTTTTTTTGTTTGTTTGTTTTTTTGGAGATAGCAAACCTGTAAAATATATTGTAGAAAGAAAGGAAGATGTTGGTTAACCTGCTTAAAAGTAGTGTTCATTCAATGAAATCCTATCCATGTTGCCTTTTCCTAATGCCTGGGTATAAAATCCAAAAATGTAGCTCAACATCACTATCTTGCCATTAAAGAGCTTACCAAATTTTTCATGATGAAGTCCTTTTTTTCCCCTCTGCAGAAGAATACGGGTATCTGCCTCATTAATGACATTTCTTTCTACAGAAAACTCTACACACGCTATCACTTTCTTTAAAGAAGGGTTATGACTAAAAGGGAGAGGCTGAAGGTGATATCGTAATAAGAAAAGGAACAGCCCTGTGACCAAAACTACTTCATTGTAGTTATAAGTGTCCAGACAAATCCATTATTGTGTTACAAGCTTGATCAGATGCGATATGATCTTCCAACCTGTCTGGATTTAGAATTTTGATAATATAACAAGGATACCCTCAGAGTCTTCAGGAGAGATGTCTGCTGAGAATGCTCCGTCGTTTGCTCTAAGCATCTCAGGATGTGCACCTTCCCCATCTTACCTTTGCCTTTTTAAATAAATAAAGCAGGGGGCCTGCAACCACCCTGTACTTTTACTGTACAGGAA